ACGATTTTCTCAAAATAAAAGTGAAATTATTCAAAATGAACATCAGTACGTTTATTGGGATGATATTCTACATCTTTGGACCAAATATGAAAAAAATCGATTTTTTCAACTTGGCCACGTATTTTCGATTATGTTTGATTTTTACAGACATTGCCTCTTAACTATTCATAATTTTTTTGAAATCTGAATAAATGAAACAGTTACAATGCTTTGCAATAGATAATGTTCTCATTAAATAGATGCCTTACCCATGACCTAGGCYAATGCGATCGTTGTCTGAATTGTGTAAATTGACTGTCAAACCTCCATAATAAAAATAGATGGTGAACTGTATTTCTCCGTTCTTAAAGTCCTCAATTAAAGTGTTAACCCATCCCCAAGGTGTCACGGGTTTGATCCAAACAGCAATAGTAAAGTCAGTAGTAAGAATGTCAACACGTGGTATGGTAGCTTGGTCATCTACTCCATCAAAGTAAACAGCCTTAGTGTTGTCGATATTTACAACGGCAGCACCACCCAACAAACTGCAAAGTACAAGAAAAATAATTTGCGATTTATTACTTAAATATATATTCTAAATCAAAGTAAAAACAATATTTTCTTAGATAACTATTTGCGAAAATGTTTTATTTATTAGGTACCTCAGATTCTGATCGGTTCCATCCATCTTGTATCTGGCAAGTGGTGTGTACCAGTCTACGAAGACAATGAAATTAGTGCACCTACGTTAAATAAGACCGAGCTTGATAAGAGAATTTTACTATCAGTAAAATCATTATCAAGTTTCCTTTAGAGAACCTGTTAATTAATATTCCATTGCCAGATGTAACGAGGGGATTGTTGTCTCTTTGTTTCGTTGTCCCATGTCTCAGAAAACGTTAAATGCGCCCCACACGACCTTCCCCTCTTCAGTCTTCACCGACTTTAATTTACCATATTTTGTAACTTTTGCTTTTCTTTTTCACGTATAATTTTATTTTAATCATCGCCAGACCTTGAATGTTTATCCCATACTCAAAAAATACTAAATTTCCCTTTAACACTAGGCGCCATGTTTATTCCATGTTTATTGAGAATAAAAACCTTTATTTAATGTGCTTAGAAAACCAAATTTTCACCCTGTACTTTGTAATGAAATAATACAACTTATGAGTTTCTGATTAGCATGGTGTAATTTTTTTCAAATTCAGCTTTTGAAAAAAAATTTTTTTTGGCCTTTGTAAACTGTCACTGAGCACCAACAAGTGTCCGGGACCTGGGACCCAATCTTCCTGTTATGATGACATCACTGCGAGGACTGCTGTAATTCTTGCAAGTTTAGTTAGTAATAACAATGTTATTCTTAAACGCGCATTACATGACATCTCAATGCTCTTACAGTATATGTTAAAATATCGAATTATCACATGCTGAGAGCCTGACATCACCCCAACTCGCAAATCTACAAGGGATGGAACGAGCGGGAATAATGTCAGACTCCCAACATGAGAAAATGAAGAAAGGAAAGCTAATAAAAAGAATAAATGTCAATATCATAGAAAAATAATAATAATAATAAAATAATAATGATAATAAAATGAAAAATTAAAAAGCTGAAAAATAATAAAAATATTGAAGAGTAGTTCCAAAAAAATATAATATATATAATATATAATATATAATGCATTAAAAAATTATCACTCGTTAAGAGCAACACCCCCCAACCCAACAGTTCCTAACCGCGGGAATGACAAGTGGGAACGATGTCGGACACTCAACAAAACAGCAATAATAATAAATAAAAATTGTGAATTATATTAATTAGCTATTAAAAATATATATTTATTTATGCGTCAAATAGGAATGTTTGAAATTTTCCTTTAAAAGATTCAGTGGATGGAGCGTTCCTTATGGATAGCGGCAGATCGTTCCAGATAGTTGTAGTGTTGAATTGTGTATTTGTTGACGACAGTTTCGAAAGTGAAGCTAGTGTGATGATCAGACATACAGAACAATTTTAATCAGTTATGAAAGCGTCTTTGACGGACTTATTAAACGAAGATGAATCTTGTGTGCAGATTACTGACTAACTTGTTTAGAAAGTGATAACAACGGCCTTAGGGTAGATGGCTTAAGAAAAAGCAACCCATACAGTTCTAAGCCTGATGAGCTTTGCGATCGCTAGATGGATCACAAAGATCTTCCAGAAACAATTTCAGAATCCAAGTACAATAAAATGCAAAATGCCACACAACATGTGAAGAGACAGAAGATTTCACACACCTGCTCGAATCTTGAACCGTGTAAAGCAGTACTGGAAAAAATTTTCAAGAATGCCAGATCCTGTAGAAGACCAACGAAGTATGGTCGAAACGTAGATCAAAAAGAACATTTGCATAGTATATTCCCAGAGAAATGAGTGAACGAAGACAGAAGATTGTACGAAACCCATCATGATAATCCGAAACTCATGAATTTTATTTTTTCATAGTGAATTCAAATGCAGGGAAAATACCTCTCCACGTCTTTGTTTGGTTCATGCCTGAGTGAAAAGTCAATGTCCATTCGATATCTTTAAGGTGGTGTTACACGGAACAACTTGCAACACCGAATTTTCGTGCAACACTATTGCGCCATTTGTGTGTCGATTTTTTTTGACATGTTGTTACATGGGAACAACTTTTCGCGCAACATTTACTTTAGTATTCAGTCCACGCGCTATCTTTTTTCTTCTTTTCTTGCTTTTATCATTTTTTATCAACTACAAAAGTTTTATCTTGTCTGTTTCAGTAGGTTTAGACAATTGTTGCAGTTGCTGTACTCTTTAAACTTACTTCTTCTACAGTCGGCGCCATTTTGTTGCGCGTCAAATCGGCGATGGACATGTTACACACATTGATTTGCTGAAAATTCTTCATCTTGTGTTGCAAGTTTTTGAAGTCAGATCAAAAACTTGCAACGTGTTGCAGAGTAAAAAATTGCGCGAAAAATCGTCCTCGGCGCTATGTTACACGACACACGACAACGATTTTCCTGCAGTGTTGCGCAAAAAATCGGCGTCGCAAGTTGGTCCGTTGTAACACCACCTAAAAATAGCTATGGCAACAATCAATCACGTGTTTAAAATTACCACATAACAACAAGACTCTCGCGGGAAAGCTTTCCAGACCCTCCTCAGGTGCGTAGACAGGATTTTCCAAAGGGCGTTAAATTTTGCACAAATTAAAAAAATTTAAATTACCGTATTTTTTTCAATTTCCCCCTCTCCCCTCTGCGTAATCTCTTGTTCTTTGACAAATGCAAGAGTTTGCCGGTTTAGCATAGCGTGCCTTTTCTGAACCATAGAGACTGTTTTATTTTCCTCCAAGAAGGCAGCTTTTTTATCAGTTACTTTGTTTATGTATCTTTTTAAAATGTGAGTGTGTTTTGGTCAAACAAAGTCAAATAAAGTCGACTTTTTTCGACTTTAACTTGAAGCGTCGAGGGCGAGACGCACGTGAAAATGACGGACGATTTGACAGGTATGTTGTTGACATCAGTTTTCTCTTATTTTTGCCCTTATTAAGAAAAAAATGAATCACTTAACTCATATAACTCCTAGGTTGTTGGACTTTAGTCGAGTGTTACCATTGTGACGACAGAGAATTTTAGCCGAGTTAATGATTAGCTCAACCGTT